TTTTTTTTTTTTTTGGTACCAGGGATTGAACTCGGGTCCTTGTGCTTGTGCAGCAGGCGGCGAAACCACTGAGCTAAATCCCCGGCCCAAGAACTTAAGAATTAAAAAAATTAAAAAAGCGTTCATTGGGAAAGAAAATCATTTAACATTTGAAATAACATACAAAAATAAGTAATAAAAAGCATCATGCATTTGACAGTTAAACATATCTCTTCTTCCATTACTGCTTTGATGTTAAATCAGAACTCCTATTCTGCTTCCAAAAATTTAAATATGAACAAGTATAATAACTCAATAGATTGTCCCAAGCATTTCCTCTGACTTAAAGTGAGGATACAAAGTGGTATATTTTAAAACTCAAGGAAAACGTTGAGTGCCAGTGTGCTGTGATTTGCTGTTGTGATGATGTCAGAACTTACCTGTGTACTCCAACTGTGTGTAGCTTATGTACGATACCTTAATAAAGCCATCTAAAAACTGACATTAAAGATAGCATGGTTTCTAAAAATCTTTATATTTTCTCATGGTAACATGAAATGGTACTAAATTATCCATCTTTATTGTGTACTTAGTAATAACTTTACTATATTTCTTCATACTAATAGATAAGATGCTTCATTTGATCTTTGATGAATGACATTAATAACATACCCTGCTAGAATAAATGAAACTTACTGGACTCCAGTTGTGCATGTGTGCTATCGGGCACCCTAGGTATGTCTCTGAAATGACAGGAAAAGAAACTGTATCAACAATGCAGCTGTTGCTTTGATCATTAGCAGCACATACAGTAATTCAACAGTATAAAATGAAAACAAACTGCGCATAGCGGATATATAAATAAGGAACAAGCACATTTTACTAAAACTTTTGGGCTAACATCAACTATGTAAAAGAAACTAAAATTCATATGCATTTGTGGTAGATTTATAAAAGCATGTACTTTATTTTCTATGTGCCTCATTCTAAAAAATTTTGGTATTCTACATGGTTTTATAGATATATTTTAATTCTGTTCTATTCTTTGTTTTTACGTTCTGTTCTAAATCAATAATATTAAAACTCAAACAAAATATCACCAAAAGAAAAATTTAAATATTCACATTGTAATTAAAATAACTTCACAGAGAAAAAAGCAAACATAGTTTTTATTGAAACTTTCAAATTTCCCTTGTAACTATATTTAAACCAAAAGCAAGAACACTTTTTGATGGGAGGTGCCAGTACTAGTTAGAGTCATTTGCAGAACAGTATAAAATACTATAAATTGTTTAAGATATGAAACAAAAATATGATTTGAAGATACTTTAATACCAAGAAATAGATTTGATTAGTATAATAAGCTGATATATTGCCATCTTACCATATTATAAAACTACAAAAAGACAAAATAATAAAGAATACAATTTATTGTGCTAAATACATTACTTTGAAAGGAATATTTCAATAAAACTAATCTACCAATCTAAATCATTTTCTCCAGCATAAAGACATCAAAATAATACAACCCAGTCATTTCCTAAATGAAATAAAACTAGGCATTATTATATATCAAAGAATTTTTGTAAACTTCACCCTCAAATGTTCTTGGCTTCATATTCATTTAATAATTCACTGCCAGTTTACATTGCTTTTGTTTTGATATAAGTATATCTTTCACACTGGCACACAATATAATTATAAGAAACTGTACTGTGGTATTTAATGAACTGTTCTCATAGTTTATATGAAAGGGTTATATACACTGCCAACTTTTAGAAGGTGTCAAATTGATCTATGGGCAACAAATTAAAAACCTACGGAATACTTGAATATGGTTTGCCTATTTCTGGTCTTTTTAATTACCATTCTTTAAAAAATTGTTTTTCCTGAAAAACTTTCCTATATCTGGCAATTAGCTGCCCTTTGCTTCTTTATTTCCTAGGTTGAAATCTCCATTTGAAAAATATATATAAGATTTGTACACTATAGCTGATGGTATTTTTATGGTGTAAAAAATCATACTTCATGGTATGATACTCATTTTAAAAGCAATTGTTACTATTGCCTCTCCCTTCCCTTACTAATGACTGTAGCTAAGCTACATCTGCTAAGCTGGTAAGACAATAAAAATTAAAAAAACATTTACATACTTCTTCTTTTGTAATTAACTGTATATTCTGTAAGTTATGAACTTTGGTGAGATGTATTTGGTACACAAAGCAGTCTGACATTTGCTTACCAGTACACAGTCAACTTTACAAACAGAGAGAGCCTGACCCCAACCTACCCAATAGGTCTTGAAACAACGAGCTCCACCTGTGGTTCCGGTTTGGATTCAAGAATGATGTTGTACACTTCCTCAAAAGTGGCTCCTTGCAATAGCCTTCCACTCCATTCTAACACTTCATCACCTATAAGGTCAGTAGGAACAATCTCAAACCATAAAATACACTCAAAATAAGAACAATCAATGAATATCAGAGAATAAAAATCACCAATATGAATTAAGAAACATACTGAGAACAACCAGTGGTATAAAATTTGATGACCAGAATAGCATATGCACCATTTTACCCAAAAGGACAATGGTCAGGAGGAAAACATTACATAAAAAGTTGTCTTAATTTGATTTCTTAATAGAAATTGTAATTGTAGACAATCACCAATATCTCAACATATATGCAACTGAGCACTTGGTTTACTTCAAATTTTCACCATCTAAACATTATTTTGTAAAAAGCTTAATAAGTAGCACTTTATTGAATCCTCTTCAGAGATTTCTCTATTAGTAGCAATTGACTATGTGACACGGAGTGACTCATTTTGGGCAATAATGCATATCTGTGAAGTTTGTTTCCTGAACTATGTTGGAATTTTTTCCAAAACAAAGTTACAACTTTCCATTAATGAGTAAAGATTGACAACTAAGTAAAATTAGCTCTTTATTCCTGGTCAAATCATTTCTAAATGAAATTTGTCCTAACTATTCCCATTTGGTATCTTAAATGTAAATAAATGATGGCAGAAACCTACCTGGTCTAAGATGTCCTACAGTATCAGCTAAACTTCCCTTTTTTACTTTGGTAATAAATGCACAAAGCCGACCTGATTCAGTCATCTTTCCTCCTACAACCTGTTTAAAAGAGGAGAAGTATTGTTAAAATGAACACAGTTGAAGATTCAAATAAAAAACATTGAGAACAATTTGCAGCTTCTAAAACTGTAATTTAATGTACTGAAAATCATGTCTTAAATAAAGTAATGTTGCTATTAGGAAATGAATACAAGTCCTCAGAGCTATCTCTTCATATTTCAAACATGGTGCGATTTAAATTGGTTGCTAAAAGTGTTGAATACTTTATAAACAACTTAGCAATCTGCAACTTTTGTCCTTAAAATATAAAATTCTTACTCCTATCATTTTCCAAAACACATTATTATAGTGCTACATCATTATATAAACATTTCTAGTTCTAAATTTTAAGTATTACAAAATATTTGTCACTTTTACTGTGATTATGATGTACTACTAAATTTTCACTACTTAGTAATATTTTAGACACACAGTAATATGCATAATGATGATGGCTCTTAGAGAATTACAATTTACTTAATCTCGTCAGAAGTAATGGAAACTTTATAACATTTGAAGCTCAATTTGTCTATTTTTATATTTCTATAAAATATATCTTTTAGAAAGAGAAAAACTATTAGGAAGAGTGCTGTGGAATCATATGTATACTTGTAGGATACTGGCCCCTTATACAATTAATGCCTTGCTTCTGATCATTACCATTCAAACAATGTATCAACATCATAGCAGATGAATCAGACAATGGCAAGTGAATTTATTAGCTAAAATCAGTCGGTTTTCTTCCTCTTCTACGTTTACTGATGAACATCTGAATTTAAAAATCACTGATTTATCTTATTCCATGAATTTATTCCATAATTATAGTGAATTACACTCAGTTGCAATTCAGTTAATATCTGTTAGTTCTATGCTTGATTCTGAAAACTAAGAGTAGTGGTCTTAAATGGGCTTACATCCTTATATAAATATTTTTGAAGTCTTTTGTGGTTTGACAAACTTTAACAATAATAAACAATGGTATTATCTGCAATTGTTATAACTGAAATTATATAGTATATGATATAGTACACTAAATGCTTGTTTACCGGTTTATTTAATCTCATTTTAACTTCAATAAACATTATCCACACTGTGCAGATGAGGAACTCAAAGCAAGTTGAGAAGCTTAGCTGTCAATGCCATGGAGGTGGGAACCCCTAGGAGAGCGCTCAAGCTCAGACTTCCTCAGCTCTCTACTCGATGACCTGTGTGTCAACCCCACCACTGTCACCCTCCTAAACAATTCTGAGGGATTACAGCACCTCTGTAAGCTTAGTCTTTTATCTGCTGTGAGCATTGAATACGATGACAGATGCAAAATCCATAGATGAATCCCAGTCACCTGGTAGCAACCCAGTAAATATTAGTTGCCCGATCCCACCTAGACTCAAAATTTTCTAATATCTGTTATTTAGCATAGTGTACAGTATAACTTCTGTGGCAATGGCTCAACCCTAAAACATTTATTTTGTTCTCATTGCAGCTTTTATTGACCACAGATGTGCAAAACCAGAGTTCTATTTGCTGTATTTACCAAATAATTTTCTTATATTTTATAAAATATGAATTAATATTAACATTTAATCTCCTAAGTATTTTTGGATTTTGAGACTTAGAACAGCATTCTCTAATTACACACATACACACACATTTTACTACATTAATACAAAAATTATATTCCTATGTAATGCACATATTACATTTTCTAAGCTTGCATATTGAGTAATTAAGTAAAACTATCATTTTGATAAAGTTTAAACATAGTATAGATTTAGAGGAAAAGATGTATAAGTAAAATAAGTTTGATCACATGTTACGATTTAAATTTATTCTAATCAGGTTATTATCATTGCCTTCTAAGTTATATACATAAATATGATTGTGGAATAATGGCAGCTTCTTAAATAATACCTGGAATATAAAAAGTTCTGGATGTTGAATGCCAGTAGTTGAAAATTCATGATACAGGAAAAATGCCTAAATCAGTATAAATAGAAAGAGTTATTATATCCATTGTTTTTCTGATAAATTTGCAAAGGAGTAAAGAATCAGACTCTCATGAATTTTTTTTGGGGGGGGCGGGTTCCAGGGATCAAACTCTGGTCCTCGCGCTTGCACAGCAGGCAGCGAAACCACTGAGCTAAATCCCTGGCCCCGATCTCATGAATTTTATTACATACCTTTAAGCCAAGCATTGCTCCAGAATCTCGAGGTACACTTCCATCTTTTAGACGCTTATTTAATAAAATACGACCAATTAAGCGATCTCCATCTTTAGATGGCTGCCAGGTCACAGGGTGCTGACATATTGCATCAACAAAAAAGAAAAATTAATGTTTTTGACAAATGACTTCTGACTGTCCAATCTCTCTAAAGCTCAGAAATCTAAAGTGTTATGATTACACAGACCAGCTTATGTTCCAAGACACTGAACAAAAAAGCTTACAATATTCTTAAAACCTCAATTTTATAATCTCAAGATTCTCCAGTCCTCTGACACAACACTGAAGTTATAAAGATCAACCAAATTAGAAAAATCTTGAAAATATATGCAAACTACCCATGATTAAGATTAATTAAAAATTCATAGGCAGAAAAGATTAAAATTCTACGCTGTTGAACTCACATAAAAATGAGACTCTTCTTCAAACACTTCTGAAAGATTTTGAAAAACTATTACAATAAAAATTAAAAGGTCAAATCATTAAAACATAAAATCTAAACCCATGATGGAGGCTTTCTTGAATAGGTTTCTAGATTAAAATTCTAAAAGAATGCACAAGCCCCCAAAACTTTCCAATGGAGTCTGCATGGGAGAGACAAGCTTCATTCAGAAGGGAGGACAGATCACATTCCTCACTTCATAGAAGCTCATTGATTCTTTCAGATCTTTGATTTATTTAGCAAATTGCCTTTACTAGGTAAGTCAGTAATGTTCACTGTTAAATGACCTTCAAAATCTTAACAGTTTATTTTTTCTCAAAGTAGAACCAAGGCCTTTATAAATAATGGCACCATTCAATTACAAATGATATGCTACATAAAGTAAATGATTTGTGTAATCATAGTAGTTTCAGTTATCTAAAAAATAGCATGCATATTCTCATGCAAAATTTAGCAGGCAAAAAGACAAGTTCCAGTCAATCACATCTACACAGTAAAAAGATTTCAAAAGCCTCACTATACTAAAAGCAAAAATAATAAATATCAAAGCAGATGACAATGGCTCTAATACTAATTAATACTACATTAAAATGCTATGACAATAAAACAAAAGAGTAAAATGACAGTGAAAGGGAAAAAAGAAAAACAACTTTTTCTGTACAAACAGACCCAATTTTCTCCCTTTTGCCTGGGATTCAAACTACTAATAACTTAATTTTCATCCCAAGGAACATTTATAGAAGCAATCAAATAAGCCAATCCAAAATAGTGTTTCTTATTTGTGGTTTATAATAACATTACAAAGTTATCGCATGCAACCACAGACAAAACATTCCTTTATTCCTAAATTTTATTTTCAGTTATTTATTTTTTGGTATGCTGCCAAACAATAAAAATAGCAAAGCAAACAAGCTTTTTTGGTTTGTTTGATTTTTGTTTTGTTTTTCTTTTCTGCACCTTAAGAAATGCTACATTGACCCTTGAAATGCCCTGTCCTTTTATTATGTTCTGTTTTAATGGGTGACAGAGAGCAAACAAAGACCAAATGAGCAGGTAAAAGGCAGGCCCCACAATCTCTCTCAGTACCTCAGCACTATGGCTATGGTCCTCGTTAAGGGTCGTGCTACTACAGGTATCTACCCCAGAATCCTTAATCTGAGGCTCAGACCATTCCAAATCCTCTTCCAAAGAGTGGCCACCAAAGTACATCATTTTCTTTTGTCTCTCAGACCTGGTGTTAGAGTCCGACAAAACTGCCTGCTCACTAATTTTTCTTTTTCCCTTTTGACTGTCCCCTAAAGGTGTGGGATAAAAAAAAAAAAGATACAAAAAAGAAAACATGCAAAGGTGTAAATAAAAAGGAAAAGTAAAATGATAACAGAAATTAAATAGTAAGGCTCCACATGTCTCACCAAAGACATTGGGGATGCCTCACTGCTATGCCAAGACGTATGGTCCAACCAGTTGTGATCCATGTCTCCTGTGAGAGTCAGACCGACAAAAGAGTGCAGTAAAGGAGACAGAGGGAAAAGGACAGACATTATCAGCATCCTGAACTCTGTGATCCTGTCTCATTTCAAAAGCTTTGTCACACTCATCTTATACACCAAGAGAAAGCTAAGATTCCAAATGAATGAATTCATAGAACGTGGACTGTAAGAGTTACGTATCGTAGGCAGACCAGCAGAAGTCCTGCAGGAAGAAAAAAGGCTAATAAGAGTAGAAAAAGACTATCAGATGTATCTGCTTCTCATGATATTTTTTTCCATGCTGGCCTAAAGACATGAGTTTGTTCTCCCAAGACTAATAAACATTTAAAAAATTAAACAGTGACTTGGCAATAACTGCTATTTTAAAAGTCAAATAATACATGTTCCTTGAATGCTGTATGATATTCCTTATAATGGTGAATTCTCCAAAATTAGAGTAGTTAAAAATATGGTTGCACAAAGGATAAATTTTCTGTAAAAATGACAAGAGATTCATTCAATTATTTTAGAAATGAAACTAATTTTATTTAAACATCATTAATATTACTTTGAAACAACCTTTTTCAGAAATTACACTCTTATAAAAAGTAAATTTTAAAAAATAATTTTGTTAGTATAATTGCCAACTAAGAATGAAAACCCACTTCCCAAATTTGATGAATTTTTTCCAAATTAAATACTTGATATTTGAAAAGAACTTCTTTTTAGTCTATATATGCACATTTATGTTTTTAAATTCAAGTCATACTTTCATTCATTTAAAAATATCTACTGAACACCTTCATTTACTATGTCCTGTGCTAAGCCTTGGTATAAAGGGTAAAACAATGAAACATGTTTACAACACCGTGAGGATAAATGCAACAAATCATCAGCGCCATAAAGAAGAAAACAAAAACAAATAAGGTCTAATTTAGATTTTAGTGTCAACAAACACCTTTAAAGTAATGACGTTTAAGATGAAAACTGAAAGATATGGGCTAATGAACAAGGAAGGAGATAGGAGATGCAAAGCAGAGGAAAGAGCATTCCAGGCAAAGGTAAAACACGGCCTTGTAAGGGAACAGAGGGACCCAGTGTGTCTGAACCAAAAGAATGAAGGAGAATACAGTGCTAAACAATACTACCAGATAGCAGGACAGCAGACAACACTTAGAAAGGCGTTTTAGGCCAAATTTCAATCACTGAAATGTTTTAAGCAAAATGGTGACATGATCTCATTTGCATTTTACTGGGAATGCTTTCTTTTTTTTTATTTATATATTTATTGGTACCTTTTAGGTATACAATACATTTACATTTATCATTGGGTGTTTGTACCTGAACATGATGTATCTTAGTTCTTATTTTTCCCCCATTACCTATGTGCCCTTCACCCCCACCACCCTCATTTGCATTTTTTAAAAAAATCAGGCCGGGGATTTAGCTCAGTGGTTTCGCCACCTGCTGCAAAAGCACAAAGAACCAAGTTCGGATCCCCCGAAAAAAAAAAAAGATAAATCTAAGTACTATACAGAGACCTAATTGGAAGAAAACTAGAAGTTAAAAGGCATTTGCAACAATCCCTGAAAAGGCAATGAAAGCCTGAACAAAGGTGATAGCAACAGACATGGTAAGCAAAGAAAACTGGGAAATGTTTTATGGGTGAAAATCAGTGTTAAGAAAGACTGGAGTGTCAAGGTGACCTCCTAGGTTCCTGGCTGTTGACAACTGAGTGAAAGAAAAAACGATGAATGACACAGAGAAGATTGGGGGAATAGCACTTTTTCATGGCGGGGGGGGGTTACTCTAATTCATAGAACTTAAGATGCCACTAAGATTCATAAATTTCAGGATATCAAATGATAAAAACTTGCATCTTAGCATTTGTTAATAACAGTGGTTGGTTTGGATATACGGTCTTTGAAATGTTTATAAATTAGTCACATGGACAGGTAATCAGTCAAAATGAAATAAAATAAATTTTCATCTTGAGATATAAATTGGGAATTATTGACCTACAGATAGGAGTAAGGAGATCATTTGGGAACAGAGGGTACATAATGGGTGACCAGGACATTCAGAATTTCATTTGAGAAAAGACAGAGAGAGAGACTAAGAAAGAGCATGCCGAGAATGAACGGAAGGAAGAAATAAGGGAAAGACTCCAAATAGAAGAGTGTTTCCCAAACAGGAAGATCAACCAGCTATTTTGAATGATTTCTACACATTAAATAGGATAAACTGAAAAGTATACATTTGATTAGGCAACATGAAGACTAAAAAAGATGTTGAAAGAGCAGTTTAAATAGAACGATTATAATTAAAATCAGATTAAAATATTTGAGAAACAGAAGGGGGGAAAAATTTATGTAGATGGATGGTTTGGGAAGTGAAATCCCAAAAATTACATCAGTAACATCATCTGCAAACATGTTAGAAATGCAAATTACTGGGCCCCACCCTAGAGCCAGTGAATCAGAAACTGGTGGCGTCCAGCCCTCTTGGCTTTAATAAGCCTCTCACTGATGTGGGAGACACACTAAGGACTAAGAAGGAGAATGAAGCTGTATTATCTAACACACACAAAATGAAACTTGTAGAAAAAACCACACTCTGTAACCTGTGAGCTACAGAAGTGCTTCTCAATTTTTTTTCTTACAGCACAGATAAACTATTGGGATTTTAAAATAACGCAATAGGGTAAATGAAGATGACCAGCCCAAGGGATGCTTATGCTGCTCCCCTGTGGTTACTCAAAAAGCTGACAACATTTGCCTCTCAGAAAACCCACTGCTCTTTTAAAATACATTATTCCTCAACTAAACATTAATAAGTCTGTAAATTAAAGGGAAAAGTAGTATGGCACCTGTAAATTAAAATTCTTGAATGATGTACATGAAAATAAGAGAATTCACCTCACAATCACTCCCTTCCCCCAATGCCTGCAATCTACCAGAAAGGCAGAAATGTGATTTTTTTTCTCTGTAAATTAAATAAGCCCTTTACTCATTTGAGGCTAAAGCAAAAACATCAGATGAAACTAAAAGAGTAGTTTCATGTACCACAGATACTGAGTAAACACTTGCTGAGTGAGTAAAAACTGATGTTGGTAAGAATTAACCAAGATAATGAATGTAAATCATACAGAAACTAGTTTTAAAGTATCACAGTTATTATTATTTAGATAATACTTATCACTTAAAATTCTTATTCTCTGTAGCTTCAAAAGGCAGAACTAAAGTAATAAAGTAGTAAAGTAATTTACTTCAGTTGCAGTAAAAAAAAATGTATTGCTAGGCTTTCCAGTTCAGGGACAAAAATTAAAAACACAAAGAAAACCAAATGAAAAATTTAGAACAGCAAAATAACCAACATTTAAAAAGCAAATAGATGGGTTCCATTGTTTGGGGCTGAGAAATGACTCAATGATTTTGAAGGGAAAAGAAAAATTATTCAATCTGAAAAGCAGATCAACAAAAAGTTAAATAAAAAGAACAGAACCTTAAACTCTTGAGAGACCATAACAAAAGGTGTAACATTCACACCACTGTATTTCCAGAAGAGGAGAAACAGAGTGAATGGGCTGAAAAAGTACTCAAAGAACCAATGGCAAAAGATATAAGCTTGCAGACATAAGAAGTTATGTAAACCTCAAAACAAGAAGAACCCAAAGACCTCAGACAAATTTGAAATTAAAACAAAGTATCTTTAAAGCAGCAAAAAATGAAACACCTTACCTAAAAAGGGAAAACAACTTGACAACAGATTTCTAATCAGAAACCTTGGTGGCCAAGAGGAGGTGGTACAATGTTTTTCAATTGCTGAAATGAAAGAACTATTGGTCTGAATTTTAATTATAATGAAATCACCTTTCCAGAATGGAAACCATTCTAGATAAAAGAAAATTATGAGAATATATCACAAGCAGACCTGATCTAAAAGAATAGCTAAAAGAAGTTCTGGAAATAAAAAAGAAAACAAAAGGAAGGAATCTGGAAATACTGAGAAGAAATGAAAAAGCAGGGTGACCAAAACTATAGATAAATACAATAAACTTTAATTCTCTCAAATTTTCTAATTTATATTTGATGATGGAATTGCAAAGTATACATTGTCTAATGGGGATTTCAATATATATACAGAACATACTTAACACAATAACATCATAGACAGGGGAATGTAAGGATAAAGGGTTTTTACATTTCACTTACCTGGTTAAATGTAAATACAACAAAATGTAATAATTTATACATAGAAAATATATTATCAAGAGCCACCAAACATACACACACACACACACACACACACACATAATGAAAAGAAAGTCACTTAAACACTATAGATAAATCAAAATGTCATTCACAACAAATGTTCAATAGCCCATAGGAAGATCCGAAAAAGATTCAGAAATGAAAAGGAAGAAACTACCAGAAAACAAAAAATACAATGGCAAGCAACAATAAAACTTCAGAGCAACATTCCTCATGAAAATACACAAGGAAATTCTTAAAATATTAGCCAATATAATTCAGCAATGTGTAAAAAGAAATTATACATATAACCAAGTAGGGTTTATTTCTAGAATATAAACTGAATATTTCAAAATCAATGTAACCATCTAATTACAAGTTAAAGGAGAAAAACCAAGTGATCCTAATATACTAATCGTTGATAAAAAAAATTCATAATTAGAAAACACAGAAAATAAGGAACAGAAGGGAACTTCAATAAATAAATAGTAAAAACATAAAACCTACAGTTAAGATCATAGTCAATACTAACAAAAAGTGGAATGCTTTATATAAAGACAAAGTTCATCAAAG